TATATATATATATATATATATATATATATATGTATGTATATATATGATCATTTATTTATTTTTAACCCCCCAATCGCAAGTAACCCTAACCCTGCTACCGAGCCGATGACCTCTGAACTGTGAGGCGGCAGTGTTCAATTCAGACTGTTACCTTCAGTTTCTGGTTCACAAGTGTAGGAGATTTGGATGAAGTTGTCAGGTGACCAATTTTGTATGAACATAGTGATGTTGGGCTTTGGCAGGCGGCAATACTCTTCGTTTTCACAGCTGTAGGATTTGGAGTAGTTATTAATCGAATTATTTTATGGCAAAGGTTGGTTTGTGCCCAGCAATATATGAAAATGACTTACATAGATCCCACCCAACCAAAGAACAAAGGATGAAAGCCTGTCTCGGTCGAGACTTTGGCACGCTGATGGGGAGCAGAGCAGTCAGCATCCTCCTTCAAACCGTAGTCTACACCCTTCAATGCGATTCTGAATCCATCGGCTAAAAGCCACAAAAGCAGACATCTCAACACACAAATGCTGTAGCAGCGAGTAGGACAACAGCGTGAGCGTCGGATCTACATACGACACTTCAGCTTCGGGTTGACTCCTGGGCACGCCACTTCATGGAAAAGCTCTGCTGAATGGACACTTGAGTTAAATGCAGGATGTTATGTCGTCGTTGAGGTTTCGCTACAAAACATTACCTGCAGCCGATGTCCAACACCATGTTCCAAGCAGAACTACGGCATAGGGAAAATACACGCATTGACATTTGAAGGAGATTTAATATGATTTGCTTGCTCTTGTCGGAGTACTCACGAGAAACGGTGGTCAGCTTTGTGCAGAACATCTTGCCAGTTGAAAGTGAAGGTTGGGGAGATGACATCCTATTTATGTTATCAACTGTTTATCATAGTCAATAAATGTGGGAGGTGTTGAAGGTGGAGCACAAATAATGTAAAAACTTGAAATGCAAATATTAAAATATTATATCAATATTAGCAAAGACGCTGTTGGTTTTGGAAAATCAACTTTTCCAGCTTCAGGCAAACACACTCATGGAGCCACGACTTCCCTCACACCAAGGAGCATTGGGTTTGTTGTGATCAGGCCCTTGAGAGACAAATGACTAAGGGAATATTTGGACTGCATGTCTTCTTCCAAGACACTCGTGTTCATGAGGCTGCAGAAGTAATAACGGATTATGTCTCCTTCTGTATGCACATTATCCCGAAAAAAATGGTAAAAATACAGTATACGCAAACAATAAGGCATATACCACGAAGTATGTTATTGAATGCATAAGGAGGAGGAAAACAGCCCATAGGCTCGGTGACACCGCTGGGCTGAAGTTGGCCCAGAAGGATCTCAACCGGCAACTAAAAGCAGCTAGGTCGAAACACAAAGAGTGGGCAGAGCAAGCCCTGTCTAATTCAAGCACAAAGAAGTTGTGGGACTCAATTTGCACCATGACAAACATGGACACTAGGAAAAAAACCCTGTCGGCTCATCATGAGAAAGCAAAGGCACGGGAGCAAAATGATTTCTACACGCGTTTTGAAGTTGACACTTCCAAAGAGTGTAATGAATTGCTATGCAATCTGCAGTGCGATTCGAATAGCAGGGTGTTAATCAACTCAGCAAGTGTTACCCGGGTTTTTAAAATCATTGTGTGTCAACAAAGCCACTAGACCAGACAACATGTCTGCTTTATTTATTAAAAACTTTTGCTGAAGAACAAACACCGGCCTGGCATCCTCTCTTCCAGCTGTCTCTAGACACAGAAGTGCCGCAGCTCTGGAAGAAATCGATTATAATGCCGGTCCCTAAAATACCCTGCCCCCAGGTTGACAACGATTTTAGACCAGTGGCCTTAACCTCCAATGTGATGAAAGGGTTAGAAAAGATCATTGTAGAGAAACTACGCAGGGAGGTGGAAGCTTCGATGGATCAATATCAATTTGCCTCCACTAAAAATCATAGTACGAGTGATGCCGTGTCTACTATTCTGCACTTTCTTCCGAGGCATCTTGAGAACAGGGGGGCATATGCCAGACTGCTATTCGTGGATTTTAGCTGAGCCTTTAATTCAATCCATCCAGACATTTTGTTGAAGAAGCTGGTTCGGTTGAATGTCAATCCATTCTTCATTAGGTGGTACCACTCCTTCTTATCCAAAAGACCACAGCGTGTGAGATTTAACTCTGTCTTGTCAGATGAGGTCATGAGTAGCACGGGGCCCCCCGGCGTTGCCTGAGCTCACCTTTTCCATTCACCTTATTTACAAATAACTGTGTTTGCTCCTAACCATATCAGTACGTCGTAAAATTTTCAGATGATACAGCTGTCCTTAGTCTCCAGGTCTCCTCTTACAAATACTTGGGGATTTATATGGATTGCGGGTTTAACTGGCAGACACATGTATCATATGTCTGCTCGCGGATCCATCAGCGCCTTCATTTTTTGCGACGTCTGAGGATATTTGGTGTTGGCAGAAGCATTCTGTTAATCTTTTATAGAGCAACCCTTGAGTCAGTCCTGCGCTTCGGAATAACCAGTTGGTTTGGGAACCTAACTGTTAAATCTAAGGCTCAGATAACCAGTTTGGTTAAGACAGCAGGGAAGGTAATCGGGCAGCCCCCACCCCCTGCTCCCCAGGACATATATGTGCAGTCCGTTATTCAACAGGCCAACAACATTTTAGATAATCTTTCCCAATTCGAGCTCCTAACCTCAGGAAAGAGGACTCTTCCCTGCAAATTAAACGGATATAAAAACTCATTCATACCGCAGGCTATCATCTAAATCAATAAACAATGACAAGGAGGCAGACAAACAAGCGGGAGGACATGAGGGCAAATTCAAATTCAAATTTAATTGCCACATTAGTTAGATATGTGAACACACACTTAGCCTGAAATCATAATGTTAATCGTGAATGTAAGTATGGCCTTTAAAATGATAATTGTAATATAGATATACTGTCTGTCATGGCTTTGCTGCGTCTGGTTTTTTTTTTTTTTTTTTTTTTTCAGCATGAGCTGGAGTGAAAAGTGTGCCTATTCAGCAGTTCACCTGTGTCTGGTTTCCAATCAAGTCTTGCCAACTATGTAAGGACTGCCAAGTTGCCAAGTCTTGACCTTCCGCTGTTTATGCTCAAGTCTTGCTTTCCAGATTTCTACATCTTGGTCATAGTTATTTTGCTCTCTTAGTTTTTTTGTCTTGTAGGTATTGATATGATTTAGTCATCCTAGTTCTTATTGGTCGTGTAAATTGGAATTGTTTGCATTCTCGGTGTCACTATTACATTGCCTTTTGCAAACTCTTTTTGTTTATGCCTTGTTTTTCCTGGCTCGTTGTGACCAGTGAATTCTTTTTAGACTTCATCGGGTACGCGTTTATGACAATAAACATTTTTTTTGTTTTGTTTGCGTTTTATCGATGTCTGCATTTTGGGGATCCAAAACATTTGAACCTGACACTAAAGTATGTTGTACAATCATTCCACCCTCCAAAAAGAATGGTTCAAATATATCATTTAAAAGCGAATATTAAAATGACATTTCTGTTCATGATAAGTCATAAGTGTACTCTATGAAAACTCTAAACAACACCAAATTGCAGCAAAGACTGCCCAATACAATGTCAATATTAACTGCCATAATTTCATTCACTTGGAGCTTTAACTTAACAGATGGTCAACTTTGCAGAGAGTACTACTTGCAGAGCAACTGATGGCGTTTTATTCAAATTTGTGCAAGCATAAACAAATGAGGCATTGGAGGCACTTTGCTTCCACATATGAGCAGGCATAAATATAAATATTTTGAGAGTATGTGCCAGTACCCCAACGTGACAGTACACCAATGTGCAAGTACCCCGACGTGGCCAGCATTGCATTTTCTAATCCGTTTAGCATCACAAGGGTCACCTGGCGTGCTGGAGGTTATCCCAGCTGTCTTTGGGCAGTCGGCGGGGTACACCCTGAACTGGATACCAGCCAATTGCAGGGCACACGTAGACGAACAACCATACGTGCTCACACTCACATGAGGGACAATTTAGAGTGTGCCATTAACCTGCCAGCCATGTTTTTGGAATGTGGGAGGAACAGGCACGGGAAGAACATGCAAACTCCACACAGGAAGGTCGGAGCAAACCATGCACCTCTGCACTGACGTGCTAACCAGTCGACCACCATGATGCCCAAGTTTAAACTTGTATTTTCATTGGGAAATCACAAAAAAGAAACACTGACTTTCATATTTGTTGATCTTTTAAAAAATCACTTTTCTCATGAGCTGACCGTTGGAAATTTTAAAGTTTGTAATTTTAACAGAGAGATCATGAGACATGCAATGTGCCCCTAGCAGGCTTACATTTACATCATCAAATCATCATACTGCTATGTATTTTGGAAAATTGTTAGTCAATATTGACCTATCCAACAAGTGGCTAATTACACACCGAGACACATAAAAGTCAAAGCCACAAGATAAATTACAAAGTCAACAGCAGCAAAAAAACATGGCATGAAAATATAAGTGCAAATAATGCAAATTTAAAAAAAAAAAAGAGAAAGAGTCAGTGACATCGTTAAAGTGTTTCATTTACGCGAGAGGTAATAAGGCACATACCTTCAAAAAAGTTCTACTTTAGACTGGTCAGTCATTGAATATTGTCTTGGGAACCATTCAATGTTTTTTCTTTGTTTTTGTTTTTCAAAAATAAGACAAGCATTGATGTTCTTTCTGGTCATCTTGAGATGTTGTCCTGGGCTCCTTTGTGACTGCCAGGATGGGTCGTCACTCGGCTTTGGGGTAGTTTCTGTACGCAGGCCACTAACAGGAAAGTTCACTAATGTTTCATATTTTCTCCATTTGTAGATAATGACTGTCACTGTGGTTCAATGTCTTAAAGTCTTAAAGCTTTAAAAAGGGAAAATAAATAGAATACCGATGCTTCTTTGTTATCAAACTATAGACCCACCCCAAATCTCCCCTTCTTAACCCCGATTTTCGAGAAAGTGGTTTTGAATCAACTCAGCATTTTTTTTTTAACTGAAATGGACTCTTTGATTAATTTCAATCATCTTTTCAACCTCATCACAGTACAGAAACAGCGCTTATTAAAGTACTAAATGACAACATTGAAGACTGATGAGGGGAAGGTGTTGGTACTCGTCTTATTAGTAGAGTTGGGAATCGTCAGTCCGGTGAGTCCATCAGTGAGCTACTGTCAGTATTTCAGGCCGACCCAGTCCTCCTGAGTTGTCAGCGACAGCCAAACGGCATTGAGAATGGACTTACTGGTACGACGTCACATACAGGTGCCGCTCACCTGACACGCAGCCAAATACAGAAAATAAAAACAAAACAGTTTTGTACACCTTTCAGTCCCACAGTCCTCACTGACATGTGTCCCATTTTGATTTTATTTCACCACACCGTGTGTGTGTGTGTGTGTGTGTGTGTGTGTGTGTGTGTGTGTGTGTGTATATATATATATA